TAGCGAGTGCAGACATGTAGACCCTGTTCTTGGCTAGTCGCATTGGGAAGAGTGCAGCAATCGCGTCAGGCCAACGTCTTGCAATAAACCACTCCCAAGTGAAGAGTGCGGCAAAGCAGAGCACACCAACGATGAGCGGAGCAACGAAGAGGGCAGACGACCAGATGGAGCTGTTCATGAGGACGTGGATGCCGGCTTGCTGGAACGCAATGACAAAGGGCACGGAAGCAGCGACTAAGAGAAGGAAGCCTAGGAAGTCGACCTGTTTGAATCTGCGACGACTGACGCCGTGGATGAGGGCGTCGTTGGACCAAACCAGTACGAAAAGAATCAACGGAATGATTCCGATCGGGGCATTGATCCAGAAAATCCACCGCCAGGATGTGTAGCTGGTGATGACACCGCCCAGCACTGGCCCCAAGATTCCCGACATCGCAATGATGGCTCCTGCCATAGCGCCCAGCATACCAATTACGCGCGGCGGGCTGATCTCGCCCAGTATGACGAAGCCCACTGAATACAAGCCCGAGCCACCGACTCCCTGTAGCGCACGCATAGCGATGAGCTGTTCGAGGGATTGAGCGAAGCCACAGCCGACTGAAAAGGCGAGAAAGATGATATAGGCGGCGAGGTAGGCGTTGCGGCGACCGACTACATCGGAGAGGCTTGCGAAGATGGCGGTGCAGCCAATGTAGGCAAGTGTGTAGGACAAGGCAATCCAATTCACCTTGGATAAGGACTGGAAGTCGACCCCGATTGTGTATATGGCAGTTGCAATAATGGATGTGTCCAGAAACGAGAGGAATAGGCCAATGCAGATACTAGGCAGTGCGCATTAGCTAGATGAACATGCTGAGATTTTGCGGTACCTTTACCTGATATACAAGCAGACCAACTTCCATGTTGCAATTCCAGGCGCTGTATTAGGACTGGGGGTGGTCTCGGGTCCAATAGTCGACTGAGCCCGCTTTTCTTCATCTTCGGTGATGTTGAGTGGTTCCAGAGCCATTGGCGTCCTGGAGGGTTTCTCGACGTTCATTTTGGTGTGTCTTGGTAGTTTGCGACGAAGCTGTTGTGGAGGAAGTAGTCGCGTGGACGGTGAACTAGGCGAGCTTTCTGTTTACGTTCCTCGACGTGGAAGGGGGACAAAGGTCAGGCGCGAACTAGCACGGGATAACCAAACGCAGAAGTGACGATACATCCGCCCCTCTTATGCCATTCACTCCACCATATTCCCTTCCCGATTCTCTATTTTGGTGCGTGAAGCGACTCGAGGAGAACGCATTCTGTGCCGCGTGGTAGCATTGCTGCGCCGACGCCGAGGTATGTTAACGATGCTTACGGCCGTTGTCGTCTGGATGAGAGATCTTGCAAAATCGTCATTTACCCGCAGCCGATTTGGCCAAAGTTGGGGCGTACGCCTTGCATTCAACGTTTTCCCGTGCGTCGCTTACAGCTTCCTAACTGGCTCCTTACTGTCGCACAGCTTACATTGTAGCAACCATGAAAAGCAACTAATGCGCCAGTAATATTTTGGTGGTCAGAGAGGTGACGCTTGCATGTCTAATTCGATCCGGCTCGCTCAAGTTTCCAGATTCCTACAAAAGCGTTTTGGCGGGGTAGCGATGGTGGTGATTTGTTGTTCGGACTCCGAAATGGTTCGACTTGTCAACGCGCGCGCCAGGACGAAGCACATCACAGCGTCTCGACAATTTACTGTGCGAGCCAGCATTGCTTTTCCGGTAGATACGAACATTCCTGTACGCTCAAAAACGTCTGGTAGCGGACTTTCAGGCCGTACGAATGGAGAGACTGTGTATTGTTCGCGCGCTTTAGTCATCAACGCTGTTCTTCCCGCCTCCACTTCAGAAAATGGTATAACTCTTTGTCCGTCGGCATGACTCTTTTCCATTCGGGCTCAACATCATCCTTAATTTCAATGCCTCTCAATCGATCGCGATAGAAGATGCGATAGCTGTCAAGCGCATACGCGCCCATACCCGGCAGGTGCGCGATCTCCCAACCTTCTCTTTCATCGTCAGGCCCCAACACTTCTCCTGGCTTGACATCTGCACCACATCCACGGTCAGGATAATGTAACCTCCTGTACCTTCTCTCTTTACTTGGAGGAGCGGAAAGCCAGGCTTCAGCCAGTGCTATAAGGCGGGCCGCTCGAATCCGGTGGAGGCCTATGGGCTGCAACATTGTTGTCAGATCTTCGAGAGATGCGGTGGAGAGCTCATTTGGCGTTGGATAGGCTACGAGTAAACTGAAAAGCACTGGACGTGCCATTTGGCCCCGAGTCTGGTTCCATAGGATTGCTTGGACTACCAATGCATACAAGCTGTCGCAAACACGCTCTTGAATGAGGCCATACTTTGCAGGCTGGAGCTCAAAAGGAAAACCTGAGGGTGTTGCGATGACGACTGGGTGGTCTTCGGTATCTACCCGGGTGGGCGTCCTTGCTGAAGGCTTGCGTGTTTTAGGTGCGGCATTGATCTTTCGCTTCGCTCGTGGAGTGTCAGAAGTCGTTCGACGGCTTCGCAAAGTAACTGCCATAGTCAAGCATCAGATTTAATGTTTGTAAGAAGACCACTGAGCAGTCAGACATGCATCTCAACCGGCATACTTCTGGGAACCAGAGGCTCTGTGCGTGAAGCTTGCAGCCGGTTCCATGACGCTAATAGAAAGTCAATGATGCAACGCGTCATTGAAACACGGCGTCCAGCTAGATGGGCCTATCCTGACACTGAACGGAACATGCTTTATCATTTTTGTAGGGTGTTTCAAAAGAATAAAGAAGTCCTTGTCGAAACGCAGCTTCCCAGCGTAGAAGAAGAAGAATGAGGCTCCTGGCATGATAAGCCTCGTTCTTGGAAGCCGCCCCACCACCCGCGACCCACTCGGCAAGAGCCCGGCACCCATCGGAATCGTCAAACAGTCAGCGCTCTATCCAATGTGACTCTCGAAAACCCTAACAACAAACAAACATGTCTTTTAATGACGATCTCGACGATGACGACACGCTCGTATCCAGCCCGCGCATCAAATACGAAGGCGAAGACACGAGCCCTACTACCGATCGCGAATTGAAGGCTTGGTATGCGTACCCAATCGCAGCTGAAGTCTTCGCTGTAGTCGCAGTCGGTACGTCATAGCCTTCTCTTCCACCCTGCCCACGCAACCACCACCATACACATGTATCGATTTTCGCGTCTTACTTACGAATTCAAGGCGCATTCCTCCCAGTAATCCTCGAGCAACTCGCACGAGAAAATGGCGTCTTCTTCTCCGATCACTCAAAACCATGTGTCGACCATACCGCATCCGGAAAACTCCGGATACGCGACGATGCAGACCAGAAAGCCGGAGGAGACTCTGAGCAATGCATGGTGAGATACTTGGGGAGGGACATGTCGACGAGTAGTTTCGCCATGTACACGTTCTCTACGGCAGTATTACTTCAAGCAGTGGTCTTGATATGTTTCAGTTCTTTCGCCGATCATGGTAAGCCATCGTAGTCGATATCTCACATATTTGGCTAGGACTAACATATTACTAAGGCCCATACCGCAAGAAGATGCTCATGTTCACATCGTACATGGGCTCACTAGCCAGCTGTCTTTTCATCTTCATCTCACCATCACTATACTACCTCGCTCCCATTCTAGTCATCGTCGGAGTTTCGAGTTTAGGCTGTTCATTCGTCCTGCTAAACGCATTCTTACCACTGCTTGTCGCCAATCATCCAGATAACAATACGCTTGGGAAACCGTCATCTTCCGACTCCGCCTCAGATGTCGAATTGGAGTCCTTGAACCCGGCCAATGGACCGTCTTCCACTCACGCCCGCTTCGATCCAGATCGGCTGAAGCGGGATCTAGAAAGAAGCGCGCAAATCTCTAGTAAAGGCGTGGGATATGGTTACATGTCCGCCGTCTTCGTCCAGATCTTGAGTATACTAATCATAGTTCTCTTCAACAGAACGGCTCTGTCGAAAACGTCGCCCAGTCTCTCGATCCGTATGATTCTGCTAATGGTCGGTCTATGGTGGGCTATATTCTCCATCCCAACACTATTATGGCTACGTCCAAGACCAGGTCCACCACTACCCACACAGACTACGCAGAGCTTTGCCGGAGGAAAGTCATCGTCAAGGATAAGAACGTTTTTGTTCTACACATCCTTCTCCTTGCGCAGCTTCTACGGCACACTTCGGAGAGCCATAAAGCTACGCCAGACGCTCCTTTTCCTAATATCGTGGTTCCTACTGTCGGATGCCGTGGCGACCATCTCTGGAACGGCTGTCCTCTTCGCGCGCACTGAGTTACACATGGGCACCATTGCCATCGCGCTACTGTCCATCACATCTATCGGATCTGGCATCGTAGGCGCGTTTGCATGGCCGCATGTGCAACGGCGCTTCGCACTACAGCCAAAGACTGTACTACTGTGTTGTGTAGCGGGCATGGAGATCATCCCTCTCTATGGCTTACTCGGATACATACCCATGTTCAAGAGCTTGGGGTTCATCGGTCTGCAGAAAGCATGGGAGATCTACCCCATTGCAGTCATTCATGGGATAGTTATGGGTGGAATCTCTTCTTATGCGCGATCCGTCTACGCTCCTTTGATACCTGAGGGCAGTGAAGCAGCGTTCTTTGCGCTGTATGCTGTTACGGATAAAGGTAGCAGTGCATTCGGCCCAGCTCTTGTCGGGTTCATCGTTGACCAGGCGGCCACGATACGCCCGGCGTTCATCTTCCTGGCGGTCCTGGTGGTGTTGCCGGCACCGTTACTGTGGCGGTTGGATGTGGAAAAGGGGAGAGAAGATGCGCGCGCGATGGCAGACGGAGATGCCCAGGGACGGGGAACGTACGAGAGGGTCCGTGAAGAGTAACGAGCTGACTACTGAAGTCGGTGGGTATGATATTCATGTTCCGTAGTTGCTAGTACGCCGCCCAATGCTGTCAACGCCAAAATGATAATGATCACACGCTTTAAGCCCGCTCTTCCATCTTCGGGCGCTTACTGTCCCGGTCGTGATCGTCGCCGAACCTCTTCCTCTCGCCAAGTGGCTTCGCGTTTGCGCCAGAAGGGCCCTCTCTATCCCGATCTCTTCCGCCATAAGCATCAGGTCTGAATCTCTCGTCGACACCGAAATCGCCCTTGTCTCTCCGCGGCCGGTCATCACCGAAGTCACCCCATTTGCCGGTATCTTCGGTCTTCATGTCCCTATAGCGTGTCCGACCCTTTTTGCCCAGTTTTGTCATGTCTCTGATCTGCATGTACTCGGGAAGAATCTCGCGATTCGTCTCGTCTTCGAAGCGCGCATTCATGAAGTTCCTTCGGTCCACACCCAGTTCCTTCAGCTCGTCTGTGAAGAAGGCGCCCTTGTGGAAGTACTTCTGCATGTACTGCATTTGCCCACGATCGCCCTTTTCTTCTTGTTGTTTTTCGATGAAGGCGCGGTCTTCGGCTTCGCGTTCGGCGGCGGATAAGTTGCGGCGGCGCTCGATCTCTGCGCGCTCTGCTTCGGCTTCTTCGATCGCGAGACGTTCGCGCTTAATGCGCTTGAGCTCGCGCAGCTTCCAGGCAGCATATTCGGCGTCGGGGTCTACACCGTCTGTGTCGTCGATGGCGTTGATGTCGGCGTCTTCCACGTCGTCATCCCAGTCTTTCTTGCCCGCCGCCTTCTCGGCTATGCGCTGCTCGACCTGCTCTTGTACAAGCGCTCTGTTTTGCTCCTGCCGCCGCGCTTCCTCTTCTGCCGCTATCTCCTCTGCTGATTTGACAGGTGCGACTTTGTTCCGCTCGTTCTTCTTCAGAAACACTGGGCGCAGTAGTTTCTTCGGTGCCTCTTCTTCGCTACTTGACTCCTCCTCAGAAGACTCTTCTTCACTGCCGCTGCCGCTTTCACTCCCGCTGCCATCTTCGCCGCCCTCCTCTTCCTCGCTTTCTGTTTCGAACTCGTCTTCTAGCGCCTTGCGCTCCGCCTCGGATTTCTGCCGCGATGCAAGTTTTGCTTTGAGCGCCGACTTGGGAAACGACGATGCGATGGGTGCGGGCTTTGGTTTCGCAAAAGGTTTTGGCTTTGGCTGTTCCTCCTCCGACTCTGATTCTGAGCTTGAGCGTTCTTCGGGTTCAGGTGCAGCTGTGGGTTTGCCGGCGAATTGGCGCGTTCGCACTGGCTGCGCGGTGAGTTTTTTGGATTTCGGTGGCGGCATAGTTACGGTTTGCAGAGGTGGGATGGAGTATAGAGGAAATGTGCAAACCTAGAGTGAACCGCGAACGCGCTGCCGCGGCTCTTGCAAGCGGCTTGGCGCGCGTAAGGCTGTACGACGCACTTCGTACCGTGCCAAGTTTCCCAAAATCACTTTGTAGGCAACAACCGACATGTGAAAAAGTCTACAAACAACTACAAACACTTTGCGCCCTCCTCATAAACATGATTTCTTGATTACTCTCTCTCAAGTCCGTTGGTTGCGTTGTTATGAATTTATGCGCAAATAGACGTTGTGCTTTGCCTTCCTAATATGCTACACACACATCTCCCTCCCACTGAGATCCCCCACCCAGCAAATGATCGTCAACCTACGCAGCTTTTAGGAATGAATTTATCGGTTCTATGCCATAGACTTGTACTTCGTCTTCGATTCTGTTAACAAATAGACCTAGATATCCAGGGAAGGGTGTATATATACCCGGACTTCATGCACCTAGCTTGAGCATGATAATATTTACCAGGTTGTATACCTGGATAGCATATGAACGTCCACTCGGACTATCTCATATCCAACTCATGAACCTATACCCATTCAAAGCATAACCCAGTCAAATACAACGGTTTTACGTGGATCTAAAGCCTTGCAGGAATGATAAGTGTCCCCACAGTTGCCAGCAGCCGTCATGTGAACCACAACAGAAGAGGATTAACAATGTCATGTCGCTGAATTGCACTGTGAGAAATGTATGATGTAAGAGTGAGGTAGTTGTACTTTATTTTGGATTATACACCATTTGAGGGTTTGCTATTCTAATGCATTGGTGCTTAGCACACAATAATCCTTGGACTCGGGCCTACGCAAGTCGGGCTCTCGGAACGCCATCATATCAAGCCCTGGAACACGAACACATAAAGTGTCGATCAGGCAAAAGACTACATATACAATAACGCCTGTTGATGCAGTGGTAATGTAAAGAAAGTGCTGATCAAATCTATTGATCAATGAGATGCTCACCGAAAGAACCACCCAATGCAATGCACGCTCGAACGCAGCAAATATCATGTCCTCTGGACTAAAGGATGGGCAATCCATGTAAGCCCAGAAAATTCGTAAAGTTGTTACACGAAGGTAATGAGTGGCCGTTCACCTGAACACAGGTTGTTGGGGAACAGGAAGTTGGTTGAACTGGTTGGTCTCAGGCCATGCACTCCGGTCCATGTATGGTAGGAGGCCAGAACGACGGTCAGTCATCGGTTGACCCAGAGGCTGATACTGCATTTGGTCGTATCTGATGTTCCTCGCAGGGTTGTGAATGGACGTCTGGGGTGGAGGCACAAGTAGTGTCTGCACGGTACGAACCGGTCGATAGGGAGACTGGCGCTGATTAAGGAAATGGGATGGCGATAATTGTCTCGAGCCCGTTGCCGGGAAGGCGCCTACTGGAGAGGAACCTGCAGACTGTGGGTAAGGACTAATTTGACGAGACTGATCGGTAGAGGGCGTGTAGTTGTGGGCGTAAGGCGGTGGGGCCGACGATGTTGGTGTGCTAGTCGGTTGCTGCCATTGGACGGGCGGGGGGTACACCATGGCCATGGAGCGGCCACCGGGAACTGGTAGCGGAAGGTCTGACCAGTTCTTCATTTGGGTCGGCGGCATCTGCTGAGGTGGAGGTATCGAAAGACTTGGCAGAGGGGGTAAGCGATTCACGGATGGTGGTGGCTCGAATGACCTATTGACAGGCGTCTGCAGGGTCGGAATCGGAGGCGCATTGCTGTAGGGGCCAGGTGCAAATCCATGGGCCTGTCGCTTCATTGGGGGCTCGATACTGTAATCAGCGCTGCGTTTGCGTTGAATGGGTCCGAGTTCCGGAAGGGCGCCGATCGGGGATACCGTGGCCGACGTGGCCTGTGGTTGCAAAAGCGGGGTATTGGAGAATGCCATGTGGCTCGGGGAGTACATCATCGTAGTCGGTGGTGACGTCTGCTGCTGGGTTGGTGGTGAAGGAACAAAGTTCTGCGGGAGGCCTAGCATGTTCTGAGGACCGACTGGGCTTACAGCACCGGAGGCCGGAATCTTGGATGCTCGATCGAAGAAGGTTCCGAACTTGCCCAGAATACCGTGCCACTCGTTCCACTTCTCCTTTGATGTGAATAGACTGTATCGCATGTTGCTGAGGAATTCGACCTCCATGATGTGCACCTCCTGAACCGAAATACCCGAGACCTCGGCCCATGTCTTGTTCGTGTACGTGTTGTCGTCGAGGAACTTGTTGCCGAGCATGAGAGCTACAGTCAGTAGACGGTATTCGCTGCCAGGTTTTCCCTTGACTGTGGGGTTGGTCTGCTTGAGCCTGTAGATGAAAAGCAGTGCCAAGAGAATGACATTTTGGGCAACCTGTGTGGTCGTCAAGATGGTTGCTACCCACTTCCTGAAACCAGTTGTAGGATGTGCGTCGGGAACGAGCGGCTGCATGGGCTGGCGTGGCGAGGCGGTATCAAGTACTTGCTTGAGCGTGGCCGAGCTCTCGAACCAGAAGAGGCATGTCACCTGGATGGATCGTTAGTGGATCCCGGTGAGATGATGGGGCCTGGAATTACCTCTGCTGCTAATTGAGGAAGACCCTCTTGTGGCGTGCTGATGGTCGGTGGAATCTTGAGGTTTGGTGATATGGTGTACTTCTTCCTCGGTGTCTGAGCCATCTCTTGTGCCTGCGGTTGTTGCCTTGGCGGGCTGGGACTTCTGGGAGCTGCTGCTGATCTGGAGTTGCCGATTGCAGGCAGTTGGTAGCCGTACTGATGCCCTGCACCTTGGTTCGGCGGTAGTGAGACCACCCTCACTGCTGAGCCGGGAAGTTCTGGAGGTGTGAGGGGAGCTCGGGGGGCTTGCTCATAGCTGTGAGAGAGACTGGGGTAGGGAAGGTGCATCGTGGCGTCGAGCTTGGAGGAGCTGCGAGGTGCCGTGGCATACAGGTTGAAGGGAGGCTCCCGCGGCAGGGCGTGAGGCATTGGGCGAGGGAGCTGTAGCTCGAGCATGTGGACGGCAAGAGGATGGAGACGGTGAGGTGAGGTGAGGTGGTGAAAGGCGGCGAGGTCAATGTGAGCAGGCGGTCATGTCCAGCAACTATTGTTTGCACGCTATCCTCTTCACTCAACCTTGGTTTGGCAGGAGGATGTCGACGACGGAGAGGTTGGCCTGTGGACGGGGAGCAGGAGCTAGGCCAATCAAAGCCAGGCTATATCCGGGACACGGCAACGACGCTTGCAACTAGACTTGTAGGAGGAGAGGGTTTGGCAAAGGAGAGTGCAGAGGGACACAATAAAGAGACGTCAGGCCCGGTGAGCGTCCTGGCCGTGTGGTGCTATACCGGGAGCGGCTTGGTGTTGGGTGTGGGTAATGGTGGTGAGTGATTGTGACTGTAGGGAGGCGGATTGTCGGGGGCCCGCACGCTGGCATGGCAGACATGGCTTGGGGCCGTTGGATTTGAATAAAACATAGGTAATTCACACACACGGAGTCGTGAAGGCTCGGAAGGTTCCAGGCAGGAGCGAGCAGGGTAGGAGGAACGCCCCAAGAGGCTGATCCAGGACCCAGAAGGAGAAGCCGCGCTCTGACATCAACCGCGCCTGGAAGGAGCTAGGGGCGCACGGCCGCCAGCACAAAGCAACCGCGACCGGGGGTTCGCCGCGAGGGCAGGAGCGACCGACGCGACTAGCAGCCAAGCCGCGCGGGCTAATTACTGCTACTACAACAAGTCCAGCACGAGCGTCGTGAATAATCCATCCCTGCGCCAAACCACCCCAGCACCAGCTGCGCCGCGCGATACAGCCTCAGCACTCCCGCGCGCGCTGATTGGGCGGCAGCCCCTCAGGCGATGCATGGTGCGCGTCCAGAGGGGCTTCAGCCATGATTCCCCCCACCACACACGACTTTGCCCAGTGCGCACTGCGACAGTGGGACACCATCCGGCCACAAACGAAGAAACGATAGCGCTGGTGGGCCTCATCAACTCGCTGCAGCCTACATGGTAGGCCTGCTGCCTCCACGGAGCGCTGCCGTCTCAGACACGACGACTGATCAGAGATGGTGAGATCCCTTGCGCATCGCGGCCAGCTGCACCGGCCAAGGCGGAGCACCCACCACGAATGGTGGCCGCAGACGGCACCTCCAAACGCTGCCAGCAGCAGCAGGAATTGCCGTAAGCGGCAGACCTCCATCACGATCCATGAGACGACCGGTAATCGCCAGTGACGACCCCCAGCCTGGGCGGTCTGGAAGGGCACTATACGCGTGCAGCGTCCCGCCCATGCCGTGTTTGACCACCTGCTGCCCGCTTGCCGCCCTCAGGCATCTAAAAAGCATCTGCTGCAAGCGCACGCATAGCAAATGGCGAGACTGGATGTGGCAGACTGGACGGCGCCGCTGTGCTGCCAGACTGCAAGCGACACGAACCAGTCGCCCAGCCAGCCCGCCCTAGTTAGCCAAATCGCCGTCTTACCTTTCCCTAAGCATGCTCTATATCCGAGCCCGAACCCTGTCCAACGCGAAGCTTCCCATGCTGAAGTTTGCGCGAGCGCTGCTGATCAGCAATCCTCTTTTTTTTGCAGATGATTTTGCTGAATGACTTCCAATCATGTGGAGCCCGACCGCTGCAGCCCTCGGTTCCGATGCTTCCGGCGAATGGCAAGTATGAGGCACCCCGACGCTAGACACAGTGTTGTTATTGAGACCGGCCGGCGACGTGTTGCGTGCACTCCAAGTTGAGGCAATCTGCACTGCAGAACCGCCTTTGCAACGCCCCTGACGAAACACGATTTCGGGTATTGCGCGCGCCTCAGTTGCTGCATTCCATCACCTTGCGCGTCCATCAGGCCGGCCATAGCTGTTGCGGGGGCCTGCGGCTTGCTGGGTGCATCCACCTGTCCCGGACGCCTGTGTTGCAAGTCTTGCAAATCTTGCAATCCGCGTCCAGTTCCAAGGTTGCCTTTGCTGACCCGTCCAGCTAGCACCGGCGTCGTGAAGCATGATTGCTTATCGAGTCGCTTGCTTGGCCAGCAGCGCTAACCGTGAAACCGTGACGGAATTACACATGGCCAGAGCAGCAAGGGATACGCAGCCCGTAATCTATCGATAGCACTGAGCAGAGTCTGTGCCGCCGGTGATCCTGCTTCGCAATGCAATGAGGTTGTTGTTGGAACGGTGGAGCTTAGCAAAGCGAGCGCCGTCATACGTACAGTACATGAGCAGGGGTGTGGGTCGTGCTCGGTCCGTCGTCACTTTCTGCAAAAAAAGATGCCCACGTAATCACCTCTATTAACACATGGATGGCGATTGCTTGCAACCACCCGGCATGGATGCAATCCACATGCTGATTAGCCCTCCACCGCCCGTCAAACTACTCCTATAGCATCGGTACGATGTCGGTGTGAGGGGCGACATCTCAAACACGCCCCTTCGTTGCTCCATGCCAACGGGAGGCTCGGGATGCCTGGACGACTCGGCTGGCGATTCGCTGATGCGCGTGATACGACCGCCCAAGGTCCTCCACGGCGCTGCAATAGTCATGGCTCTATCGAAACTAACTTCGCCGCTGTGCATCATCGCCTGCAGTGCCAGTATGTCCAGAATCCACGTTCGACAGCGATCCCGTCTGACCGAGCGTCCTGACCGTCGTGTGGAGATGAATGGTGACTATTTTGGCGCAGAAAGGGCAATAGCTCCTTCCACGGAAGGCTGGGGGGCGTAGTACGGAGAGGACGGACGATACTCGGCACCGCTTTCCTCACCATTACACGATTATACGAGCCCCAACGACTCGTTACCGTCCTGCCCAGCCTATACCATTCACGGCACATCTATTAGCTTGGCCATGGCGCGCTGAGACGTACCGCGCTTCCATCACGCGTACATTACACCATGCATCATCTATCGTCGATTGACTCCATCGTTTGCCTTTCAACAACTGACCCTGCCGAGCAGTGCAGCTCCATGGATGTGCCTCTAGTGTATTTCATCATGCGCAGCAACCTGGCCACAAGACATCTGTGAAAACCACTCAGCCGAGACCAGCATATATGGTTGGCGCCAGCTTGAGCACGCAAGTCCTTGGCTGGCGCGCGATATGGCAGACTTTTTTTTTTTACCATGCTCTCACGACCCTGTGCCCGAACGGTCGCGATCACGAAGTGCGATGGATGCAGCTTGGCTACGGCTCATTAATTCCGGTCTGCGACCGGCCTTAGCGGGCCAGCTGCAAAAGCAGAACGCGATAGACGCACACACTGCAACAAGTCTTATGCCGACTCAGGATCTTGTACCTCTTTGCCACACGAGTCCAGTGGGTCGAGTTTAGCCTTTCGACACGGCTTGCGGCGTCCTCAGATCCATATCCAGTTCCCCGCTCTCTTGTGCTGAAAGAAGTAGGTCAGACGGTTCCCAACGAATGAGCACTGCGCAACCCCACGCTCTAGAGCGAGCACGCCGTAATCAACCAGCGACCCAACCTCAAGGCCTCCTCCCCGGATGATGGATCCCTTGCTGTGCTTAGACGTGATTCTCTCGACATTTACCAAGGTATATTGTGACGCAACCACTTTGCACTCGGGCTGCAATACCGCTCGTCTGACAGTGTTACAGCATGCTGACCGGCCAGGACGTAATGCGGGAAGATAGGCTCTACCCAAGGGGTACCGATACTTGCTACTTCCCATCGGAGATTGAATGTGAATATGTACAAGGGCGTTGGTACCGATCCACGAGGCCATACTAGTCTGCCCGATGCACAGCTGACCCGTATCATCATCTATCCCGCGGCTGACACTGTCATGAAGGACAACAAGTCCCGTATGCGTTACGCCACAAGCTTCATCAACACATTAGCGAAGCCACTCACGCGCAAGTCAGCCAACCAACTTTGTGTGACCAAGTTGCACCTTATTATTACACCCCATGCTACCAAAGTATCATGCAGGAGGCTCCATCTATTTGCCCCAAAGACAATGCTTCCGAGGTCGGAAAACCCTCGCTATCTTTTCCAAATACAATACGGCAAGCTAGCTCGCCAAGCTCAGGCTCTTCTTTACTTTATTGCCGGGCGAAACTCCTTCAAGGGCAAACGACTCGCAATTCGTCGGCTGCCTAGCGCTCGATTCGCACAACGATGTTCCAGCTTGGACATCTGGCGGTGCTTTCGACGCACGCGGCGAGTCATCGTGCCACCATCATGCAACAACCAACAAAGGCAACCGGCTAACACACTCCACACCTCCTTCCGTGCTCAGAAGCAACTCTGGATTGCCGTTCGAGGGGCCGATTGCAGCTAACCCCCTCAGACAATGCAGACGAACTCTGCGTACAGGACGTTACCTGCCGGAACGGATCCCAGGCCGCGCTTGCCCGTTTAGGTGCTGCAGTACATCGCTCAACACATACGGTCCAGCTGTCTCTGAAAAAGCGACGCATCGCTTCCTCACCTCAACGCGAGACATGCTCTGCACCACGTGCATGTCACCGAGCGGATTAGGACACCTTGGCTTGCGCCACTATGTGCAATCACAGTAGTGCGCGCTCTCCGGATCGACCTGTCGAGTTCTCGCTGCGCATCCCAAAGTGACTACTCAGCCTTGTGCAGGGACAAAGGGAAATGGGGCAGGCAAGAACGCCGCACGCAGCCGTTAACCCAAAGGATCCGTAAGACGTGCAGACAGTCTCACCGGCTCGCACAAGCGGAGTGCCGACCAACTGGATTCTATGCTGATTACGGACACGTCGCGGGGATTGACCACCGAAACGAAGGCTTTTCATGTGCATCATCACCTTCCATCGTTCGTCTCTCACTGCAGCTACTAGTGTTGTGGCATGCTTTCAAAGGGATCACCTTCCCCGACTGCACTGCCTGACAGGTTCGGACTTCACACAGCTTATATCCCTGCCGGCATCCATCTATTAATCATGGCTTCATTGGACGACAACTCCCTGGTGCGAAAACGGAGATGCCACGGCACGCATGCTACCTGGTCAGGATTCCCGGGTTCCAACATAACAGGCATTGTCGTCGCCGATGGGTTCGAGATTGGGCTCCGCTATGTGAAAACGACCGTCGCCTGGGCCAGGAAGCTCGTCGATTCGGTCGTGTCGTAATAACAAAGTGCATCTTGGAAGCATGTCTGATACATTCGATGTTGGTATGCTAATGCAGTAAGATTCAGAGCATCTTCACGCATGCTTCTCATTGGTTCGGGACCACGTCTTGAAAGATACAGGTAACGAAATGATAGAACACTCTTATATTGAAGAAGGAAACACAGCCCAAGAAGGAAGGTAGCAAAATCCGGACGTGCTACAAATCCATGTACACTGTGCTAAATACTAGTCAGCTTCACTCATCCATCTTTCCGTGAACACAGCTGCACCACTTTAGTCAGACATATAGTCCCATATATCCAAACCATTCACACCACTTTCCACACATGATGATGCATCAGCGACTTCCCAACTATTACTCACGTCACCTCATGCACTAACAACCGTCTCCACCACATGACCATCTTCTCAGATCTAACAAGAACCCCCCATGTCTCAGCACAAATAGCATGCTCGAGCCACGTCGCAAAATAAGTCGATGCTCAGTCGTGCCATGAAAACAGTGCGACATGTTTCATATGGCTGCGATAGTAGTAGATGTTTGAAACGGGTATCGCATTGGCACCGATCGCGACGTTTGCTTCACTAACAAACACACCGCCACGATTCTTGGGCTTGGTCTGGATCTGCGCATAGATACTGACGTCTTTGTTGTTCGTGTTGACGTTTGACTATCTAGCTCTGCATTCGGCGTTGCTGCGCAAGAGCTGATGCCGAGTTGCATAGCCACGGCCTTAGGTTTCCCACCGGATGACGACCTCTTCCTCACGATGGCTCAGCCCCTCAATTACACACATGTGGCGGGGAAACAACGTGTTGGTCAGCAAGGTAGGCGTCCAGGTCATCCTTGATGATATGTTCATGACGGATATGAGTCAATTCATGGCTGAGCACTGTGGGCCCACGTATTGTAGTGGTATATTGGCGGACCAACTGATCGTTATACACATAGTATGATACATGCTCCAACGCTCCTCTCTAGAACAGCTTGTTGTCCGCACTGGCCTTGGCCGCGTCTCTCCTCGCGCTCTGCTTCTTCCTGTCCTTTGCCTCGCCGGGCGGCTTGAAGAACAAAGACGGGCTCTCGCCATCCTTCATCGTGTAGTTCAAGTATCCTCTATGCGCTGGATCGCGGTAGTACTCGATGTCCTTTCTTGCCGTCGCGTCAGGCAGCCTGTATTTGTATTTCGACCCGATCTGCTTCATGACAGCAACCATAGCCTCCTTCTTCTTTTCTTCGGCGGCCGTCTGGAGCGCGGTGATAATGGGAGATGGGATCTTGGCGGCTGCGGAGCGCGCAGTGAGAGAGACGAGGTCTGGCGAGGCTTGGATAGAGATGGTGGGGTGTGAGTCGCCGCGAAGGACGCGCTTGATGGATGTGGGAGAGTAGAAGCGTGTGGTCACGCTGCCGCCAAGGGCTTCGATGCGTGCGATAGCGTCGGCGGAGGCGCGTGAGACGACGATGTGGATGGGTGTGGTCAATTGCTCTGGATTCTACGGCCACAATTAGCATTCGCGTAGCCGTCATTGGTTGGTCTTCTCATACCCTCGCGAGCAGCTTCACGCCATGCCTCTTGACGCCGTGCAGACACCTCGACTTGGCCAATTCCTTCATGGTGATGGGCTTCTTCGGGTCCAGCCTCCCCTGGTCAATCCAGCTCTGTATCCGGTCCAGGTTTATGGGTGACATCTCGACCTTGAACGGGTTGTACTTCCCCCGCCCTCGCTCGGGGTTGGTGATCCATTGTGGTGTCTGACCTCCCTCGAAGCCCGCGGGGACTTTGCCGTGTGCATGCTGACCCTTCTGACCCCGTCCACCAGTCTTTCCCTTCCCCGAGGCGGGACCGCGACCTCGTCGGATCTTTTTATTGTAGGCGCCTGCGTTGTCGGAGAGCGAGGAAAGAATGGATGCGCATCTCTGCTGGGCGGGCACAAGGAGGGGGGCGACCGATGTCACTGCAGGTGCTCTCGAGCATATGAACAGGAGAGATGAGGCGGCTCGGACCGCTCTTAGCCGTGGTGGCATGGCTGTGGATGGCTATCTTCCTGCTGGCGACGGGCTCGTTGGTGTTGAGCGAATGCGAAGATTCGATGATGAGTAAGCGGCCATGTCCGCGGGATCTAGCCTCATGCGGACGCTAACTTGTGCAACCACGCCGCATGTCCAACCGCTCCTCAACTCCACGCGTCACAATGATCTTCCAGCTCCCTCGCTTCAGCTCATCTTAGACACTGGTTGATATCTTGTCTGAAATCAGCGAAAACCTCATCTTAAGATCTATGACCGTACTTAGATGAACCTCGACAATGGTTCGTCTTTTCCCGCCTGTGGGTGCAGGTGAGTTGACGACTACATCGAATTTTGCACACCAAATAGGTTCTCACTAATGAAAAGGTCTACATCCTGCTATTCCCAAGAGAGAAGAACATGATGTTGCAAATACTGCCACTGCATTGGTCTTATTAGCGCCAACAGCGGCAGCGACTCTGCTTCTGGGCCGGATGATCATCAGACGCCCTTTGCTGACTTTGCCGACGAAATCTGCGTACTTTGTTACTAGAGCAGGCTTTTATTCTCTTGCTCTTGCTGCGCCTCTGGCAGCTTACTTGACGCACTGGGAAAGTCAGATCAGAAGAAGCATCCTTCATTATGAAGGAATCAATCTCCCAAAATCTCAGATATGGCAAAGCAGTCAGGGGTTTACGAGGGATGGTTCTAATATTATTGGTGGAATAGGAGGTATGCTCCTTTCTTTCAGAATGAGGAGCTTACGGAGTCTCTCCATTGGACATCGCCTACTTGGTCGGCTCGGAGCCTTCTCGACTGGATTCTCGACTCCGCTCCTTGTGTCCGATATAACATTATGGGTATCGGGAACAGACCTTCAGGAGCGATCTGCACAAAGATCTCATTACGAGAAGGCTGTGGCATTGCGTAAACTCAACAACGACCCTAACTTCATCCAATCTTTACCCCCCAGGTCCCTACTCCCAGAGCGAATTTGGAAGAAGACTGCTTGAGTTGAACGGGAGGCAATGTCATTCGACTTTCTAACTGATGAGGAGAAGGCCTTGCTGCAGCCTACTATGGTATTCAGCTGGCTGGACACTTCGACCTACAATAGTATCAACAAGACTCTGGGGGGCGCCATACCTATGGACTGGAAATATCCAGAGGATGCATCAGCGGCAGAGAAGCGGGAGTATGTGCTCAAAGAGCTTCAGTTTGTTGCGAACATGCTCAAGTCATATGCACACAATAAGAGCGTTGCGCTCCAAGGGAAGCCCATTCCGCGTCGCGAAACCTTTGGTGTAGAATACGCTTCCTTAACTAGGACCTTGGTCACTCTGATGTATGGGATGATTATACCAGAAGAAGGAAAGATTGAGCCGCGGATGTACGTTCACGATTGTCTAAGCATAATTGATGCAGACAAGGGGGAGGATCACGTTCCGGTGGAGACTCTCGATTGCCTGCGCGCGCTCAAGACGGCTTTTGAGAAAAGGAACCAGCCTGAGTATGTTGCGGGAATTGACAACCTCATACGGGAATGCGAAGGGCGTGCTGCAAAGAATAAGGAAGCCAGGAGTGGTCGAAATACAATTGAGGGGTGAAACAAAGGAAGACAAGTCGTTGGAGACCATCGCGCTTTGTTACAGGCAGCCGATATTCAGCAGAATCAAGATGTGTAGTTGTACAGACCGAGCTTGCTTAATTCAGATGTTCGCTGGCGGATGTGATACATAGAAGACTAATGTAATCAGGCTGCGAACTGCACTCATCACACATGCCCTAGCATCGTTCGAGCAGTGAATGTACGATGTCTAATGCTACCCTTCACTACTGTGATGCGCACGAGATCAAGTCACATCCGACCCTTTCCTTGAGCTACTCGCAACGTCCATTCTCTCTTCGTTGATCGTAGCCACCACTGGAAGACACTCTCCCACAATAACTATCGCGAACACAGGTACGTATACCCACGATCGCACACCATATAAACCCTATACCAAACAGTCTACTTACCCAGTAACAGAAGTAAATCAACACCCGCACAACAACCGCGATGTCTGGAAACCCCGAAGATTGGCGGAAAGTCACAGGTATCGGCCACGGCAAGGACTGGGGCGCGCCAACCGCGTACCCCAAGAATGGGACTGCCTGGGGAAAGGCATTGAACCCATCAGCCAACAACAACGACACCAACAACGACAAGGATTCGCCTGCTACACCTGCAAAGGGCTTGAACGCCGCGGCTCCGTCTTTCACTCCGGGTGGAGGAACTGCGAAGAAGTAGGGGGTACGTCTAGAAGTGGAAGAATTATGGCTACGATATGAGCTGAGATTCAAGCAAGAGGAAACGGCGTAGATGGTGACGGCGGATATGACGTGGACACAACAGGCATGTGAGGTATAGGTGTGACAACGTCGACTCCTAGGTCATTGTTTGGGTGTATACTTGGAGGACGGTGTATTCGCGTATTCGTCAAACGTCGGTATACTGGAATGTGAGCGGTAGTATGTCAAACGTTCAGTGAACGAAGGCCAGCGTGAACGTGTCTGTGTATAGCACCAGAACTAGACTTGCCAACAGTACAAATACTCACTGTATCTCCCTATAAAGCTTCCTGTGCTCTTGCTAACAAGCTTCGCATAACGCATCTTCCTCCACATAATAAAAACCATCTACAACAATAACACCAGAAAACATGAGCAACAACCCCTTCTACAACAACGACCCTTTCAACGTCACCGGTCTCGGCCACGGCGCAGACTGGGGTACTAGACGCCCCTACGACGCACGCTCACACTCAGCCTGGGGCCCCGGCAGCAGCAGTCTCCAAAGTTCATCTATTCATTACCATACATCCTCAGACATGCGATACTTGGGTCCGTACATGTCATATCCTTTGGATCCAGACTCACCGCGCGGAGGCTCTTGGTATGGCCCGTATGGGGGATCGCGATGGGGCGGAGGCGGTCGGAATGTAAGGTCTCCATCTCCACCCCGAGGCCCGGGATACTATGATGATTTTGAAGGATATGGAGGAGAGCAATACGGCGGAGGCGGTTGGGGTGGGCGGTCTCGGTCGGGCTCTCCGCCGCGAGGCCCGGGTTACTATGATGATTTCGATGAATGGTGGTAAACGATGCTTCCTGTTGGCAAGTGTATTCATCATAATCTGACGTGTGATACTGTTATGCTAGCCAGAACTGTACCATCAAGGTGATATTTGCAGATTCCATCGTGCTAGTCATGTGTTCAGGTCACCCAATAAAGCGTGATGGTGAATACGTGCTACGTTGTTGAACGTTGATGACAGCCATTCCCGGCACCTACTGATACCAGCATTGCCCCGGTGGAGACCTGGTGTTGCAGGATGCAAAGAAACTCTGCCGGAAGTCCCGTTGGGAATGAACGTGGGGATGTTAGTACCGTAATTCCATGGTGTGAGAGTTAATGGCCGGATCATGAAGATATGCTGGCTGCGTAAGCTTACGGTTGTCATTCCTTATATCCATGTATCTAAGCTTCTAAAAGCCGAGGATGTGTTCCAACGCCGTCGTAATCCATCGGCCAAGCTCTTGTCATGCATTGGGTTGCGCCTGCGGTTGCCTGTGACGACAAATCCTATAGGACGCCTAAACGCAGCTTACAAATGTCCTCTTGGCAGAGCCTTCGCGATAATGTGATGCTCGACGGCTGTTTTCGTCATGAGAGGGAGGTTCTAGAGTGATCATGCCACATAGGCTGAGTATAAGAGGTAGCCGCGCATCAGATAGAAAGACCCTATCGTACTTCGCATCGTATAGCTCGCGGGCTTTCCAGTCTGTTCTCTAACAAGACCACTATGTCGCATCTCCAGTACTTCGACTATCCCGGCTTTGGGGAGCGATCAAAACAGGATTTGAATTACAGCCAAGCGGTCCGCATCGACAACCGCATCGAGGTATCCGGCCAAGGTACGTCGTCCACAGTGTATAGGCTGTCCAATGTTGACCACATCCAGGCGGCTGGGATCGTACAACCGAGGAGTATCCAGAAGAACTTTCGAAGGAGGTTGACCAAGCTTTTGACAACGTCGAACATGCCATTCGCCAGGCTGGTGGGGAGGGCTGGGACCAGGTCTACAAAACGCGCTTCTACGTTACCGTGTCGATTAATGAGATTGCGGAGCCAATTATTCGCAACTTGAAAGGGAGATGCAAGAATCATGGGCCTCTCATGACTGTAGTGCAAGTCGTGGCGTTGTATAAGACGATGAAGATTGAGATAGAAGCGGAGGCGCGCTTGGGGTGATTTGCGCAACCTTAGAAGCTTGGAGCGCCTTCCGTCCCTGGTGTTAATTCATCATACTTAGAAAAACTTACATACGTCAAAAGCATGAGGCCCATAAGATGTGAGATGTGCGTGTGAACGGCGCGCAAAGAGAGAGTCAGTGTTGGTTCTCTGTATGGTCGCAGTACGTCATCGTCATCGTGGCTGCCCGCTAAGTGGGGCCATGACTGCGCCACAGGTCACAACGATCACTCCCGGTAGCCTCTCTCTTCCAGTCTCGACGACGACCGAGACGCCCCTAGAGTAGCATCGGCAAATGAGAAGAGCTTTCTGTTCATCAATCGCGGCGTTGCAGATGTCAGAGAGCTTTCCGCGGCCATTCACCCGCCTGCTCGTGCACCACGGAAGTCGCCATCGCCATCGTTGACGACTCCTCCTCAGCGCAACAATGCCCAATCGATTCCGGAGTAAGCTGGAGAATGCCGGAAGAAAGACGGGCAACTGCCTACGGACAGTGGCCTGGCAAACATCCAAATGCCTCATGTGGACAGTTTGCGCGCCTTGCATCTGTTGCTTGCTAGTATTTCTGAGCCCTGGTCGACATGGAAGAAGACGAAATCTTTCACACGAGATAGTACTACCAACGATGCCGACACCTCGCAGACGCGCACTCTCCATGTCAGGGGACTTACAAGAGGACCAAAAGACGCTGGCCCAGCCTCGCTCAGCGCTTCTGAGCAAACTGCCGTTGGAGATTCGGCGCATGATCTATGAGATGGCTCTGGGAGAACAGACCATACATGCTTCAGTTTTGGACGGAAAACTATTGACGCGAAGGTGCACCCTTCGAAACTGCCTTTGCTACATGCCTTGTTCACCTGGCCAGAAGCTGCAATTGGCACTTCCTCTTCTACGAACATGTCGGCAAATGTAAGTGATATCAGTTGCAGTCGCAGTACATGACCGGCTTACAACTCCTTTAGCTATTCTGAAGCTATTGAGTATCTCTACAAAAGCAACGAATTCTTCATGTCCACGGACTTGGAAGACTTTCCAACAGCAGGCTATCTCTGCTACTTCTTTCAGCCCCAACGTATCATGCAAATCAATAATCTCAATATCGAATGGGACCTTGATCGCAATCAATACTTCCAAGTCAACTTGATGCCTGCGCATCACCGAGTTGAGTGGTACAGATTATGGGATGGGTTGAGCAAGATGACTGGTCTCAAGAGATTACACATCAAGTTGTACTTCTGTCTCGACCTCTGGCAGGGATGCTATGGTGAATTCTGGGAACAGAACAGCAAGGAGATTCTGCAGCCTGTCAAGAAAATCACGGCTCCAAGAGACTTTGTCATCAATCTTCCGAATTGGCGATGCTCGACTGAGATTGATACCGGCGAATCCAACTGCGTCTTCCAGCTACCAGAGAGGGACGACCAGGAAAGCAGCGCGTCCTGACGCGTCCAGGGACGATTCTCGGACGATCCTCGGACGATCTTAATCATACGGACGGCAGCTTCTCGGGAATGGCTGTGGAGCATTGCGGATGCTCATAAGACATATGGGGCTTCTTCAAACTCAAGCCGAGGGGATACAACGACCTCGCAAAGGCCAATCGGATTGACGATGGGCCAACGTCACCGCCTGGTGGAGTACAAGACTCTAAGAAGCAAAACGCAGCCAAGACACAACATGACGGTGACGCACAGGAACCATGCACCCAAGCTCCCACCAGCGGCTTGAACAGGTCTTGCTCCGCCCGCTGTGCCGGCGCGCGTATCTTATCGCATCTTTGATCAACGTGACAGGCGGCGTGGACTTGGCAGCTTGGCGATCTAACTCGTCCCGTATAGCTTTCCACAACCATCTCGTTCTCCGTCCGCCATCATGCACAGCCAAGAGCTTCCAGCTAGGGTAGCTCCACCACGTGCAGTAGCTGAGCAGCTCAGCTCGAACACGTCGAGCCGTGCGGCGTCCTGTACTTCGGCGTCGTTGATCTATCCGAGGTGTTGTACAGCTCTGGCCTTTTCCCGGCGCAGATAAGAAGCGACATGGCCGCCAGGATGCTTGTCCTGCAGGAACCGTTCGCTCTTGCAGGTTCCCGGATACTTCGGGGTTGAGATCTGCTCACGATGCGCTCTTTCATTGCTACCTCCGTCCTCGTCGGACTCGCGTCCGCTGCCGCTGTACCTGTTGTTGCTCCCCGTGGAGACGGCTATGGTCATGGCCATGGGCACAGCAAGTTCAACGTCCAAGTCGGCGTCCGGCCTTACTACCTCGTCGACAACATGGACGAGAGTCCGTTGAAGGAGAAGCTGGAGAGCTGCTCGGAGCAAGAGTTCAAGACCTCGGACTTTGTCCTTGCGCATCGTGGAGCGCCGCTTCAATTCCCTGAGCACACTCTTCAGAGTTACAAGGCTGCGCATCGCATGGGTGCTGGCCTGATCGAATGCGATGTTGCGTTCACCAAAGACAAGCAGCTTGTCTGCCGCCACGCCCAATGCGACTTGCACACCACGACCAACATCCTCAACACCACCCTCGCCGAGAAGTGCACGACCCCCTTCTCGCCCGCCGCCAATGGCACTGCTGCGTCGGTCAAGTGCTGCACCTCGGATATCACTTTGGAAGAGTTCGGCACTCTTTGCGGCAAAATGGATGGCTTCAACCCCAATGGCACAACGGTAGAGGAGTACATGGACGGCACACCCTACTTCCGCTCCGACTTATACGCGCAAGACTGCCCCAAGCTCATGACGGTCGACGAATACATTCCCCTGGTCGACAGCTGGGGTCTGAAGTACGCGCCCGAGCTGAAGACCCCCGAGGTTGAGATGCCTTTCGATGGATACACACAGGAAGCGTATGCTCAAGATCTAGTCGACAAGTTCCGCGAGTACGAGATCGATCCGAGCCGTGTGTGGCTGCAGTCTTTCCTGCCCGATGACGTCTTCTACTGGATCGATAACGAGCCTGAATTCGGAATCCAGGCTGTCTATCTCGACGAGCGCGTTGATACTCCCGAGGGCTACGCCAATGCCACTGCCAGCATCCCTGAGCTCGCTGCTCGTGGCGTTAAGATCATGGCGCCCGCTATGTTCGCTCTCACCAAGTTGGATGATGACAAGAAGATTGTGCCTTCCGAGTATGCCATTGCTTGCCAGGAACACAACTTGGACATCATCGCGTGGTCATTTGAGCGCTCTGGATGGCTGCAGGTCGATGGTGGTGGTTATTACTACCAGTACGTTGCCAACCGCACCAACAATGATGGCGACATGTACGACGTGCTCGACGTGCTTGCTAAGGATGTGCACATCTTGGGTATGTTCTCGGATTGGCCGGCCTCAGTAACCTACTATGCCAACTGCATGGGGTTGTAGGCGACACAGCCTTATATAGATCCTAACAAGGATGAAATATATCATACATCGCTCAAATGATCTCGCTCGCAATAAAGCAAAGTGATCCTGTCTTACTTGGCATCCTCCGAAGCATCAGTTGCTTGGCCGAATATCCTCAACCTCACAGTGCTCTCCCCCATATCCCAGTCCGTCCTACAACTTGGATACGGTAGCACGACGATAGCGTCGCGCGGCCTCGTCACCATCCTCACACTATCCAGCAGCAAATCCTCTAGCTCCATCCACTCGCTCTGCCACAGCCATTGCGGGCTGGGATCCATCAGAATCACCCGAAGATGTCTCAATCCCTGCATATTCGCTATTATCGTCCACGCTTTCTCCCAATTCGCCGTGTCGTCGCGATAAACGACGCGATTCGAGGGACCGCGACTCATATAAGGCAGCGCGCGGATAGCCCAGCGGAGGTGTAGCGTGCGAATCGAATTGAGGCGCGGTTGTGGGATCGAAGCGGGGAGGTAGAGTAGGTGCGTGATGTGGAGGAGGGAGAAGGTGTGCGCGCGATAGAGATACGAGATCGCTTCTGAGTACCTAGATTGCAGAATACAGTCAGTCTCCATGATGCCATTGTGATTGCCATGAGAAGGGGAGGAGAATACATACATGCGCCTGCAAGCCCTCAGTACAGTCGGCCCACCAGGGTACAACCTCGCGCCCTTCTTCCCAAACACCAGCACGCGACACATGTACTCCCTCCCGCCGTCTCCCTCGCTGTCGCACAGGAAATGGCCGAACCGCTTCTTCTTCGTGCTCAGTGTCAGATGCACAATCTCTGCGCCCATGACATGTTCGTACACCAATTGCCGCAGCTCAAGCGGCAACCGCGTGAAGAAGTCGCTCTGGCCCTGCGCGTGCGTGCGCGCATCGATATCGACATCCGGCTCTGATGTTAGACTGATAGTGGATGCGCGCGGGCGCACAATGCCGTGCTCTGGCGGCGAGGCTTTGAGCGAAAACGGGTTCCGGCTTTTAGGTTTCGAGGTCGACGGGTCGGTGGAGGGCATGTCGGAGGGGGTCCAGCGTATGCCGGGGAGGCGGCTGAGGAGCGACTTTGGGGGCTTCATTGCGGGATTGATGGGGTGGAGATGGGGAGAAGGCGGTGGTAACCTGGGGAAGGGTGCAATGAGAGAGATGGCATGGCACGACGACGGCCCCCTTGCGCGGGCGCGCCAGCATCAGCCGCGGCGCAAAGTTGGTCAGAGTGGTGATGGCGATAGGCTGGGGAAGGGTAAGCGTGCGGGGTCTTGGCCGCCAAGCTTGTTTCGAGCAAGCTTCGTCTGGGGGAGTGGGGGAGGTGCTGTGCCCGTGGGGTGGTAGATGGTCTGCTACTTTAGCAAACTACCTACTGTAGGTAGCCATTGATATCGTCTTTCCATACGTGCGCCTGTTCTTGCCTTTATGTGTTCTGAGAGCGATATGAACACCCTGGCCTGCTTTCCGATGATCGCGTGAGAGGTACCGTACGTGTGGAAACTCGCGTTCTATCGCTCAAACAAGTATCGCGTACTCGCTGTCTTGATCGACCGTGTACACTACACCAAGTAGCCAATACCGTACATTCTGGCATGGAACCATTGATTTGGTCATACTAACAGGCAAACTTCGACAATGCCATGATGATGCAGTAAATCCGTCTATCTCCATGGCAGAATTGGCAAGACCCAATCAGGCAACTTGCCCGCCTTCTGCAATTTCAGCTGACCGGCAAGACCATGCCGAAAGATGGCAACGAAAGGTACAACTCTCGAGGAACAGCTTCGAATGCTCCCATCCAGCTCTAACCTCCACTGCATCTGAATCAACTGACATACCGGGCCATCCGGACGAATACTGTCTCCAAAACGCCACGCTGTATTGGTACTGGTATACGGCACAGCCACCTGCAGTCATGAACCAAGCGCGCTTTCCCGGGGCGTAAAGTCACTTTGTCATAGACAAAACCCCACGATAGACTACAGCTAAACATCTCTGTCATGTCTAAGCAAGAAGGTGGCAGCATGAGAAAACGACTTCGCGCTTGTGAAGAGTGCCATCGTCTGAAGATCAAGTGCGACATCAGCACCAATCCTGACGCGGCAAGCTGCGAGAGATGCACCCGCAACAACCTGGAATGCGTCCCTGCAGCACCGCGCCTCCAGCGCAACCGCATCCAGGAGCTAGAGGCGCAAATCCAAGAACTCAGCAATCTGCTTCAGAAACAGAGCAACAACAGCCCAACGCCAAGTCGCTCCCCTGGCGGACTCTCCACCAACACGCTAGGCCGGTCGCCCGGTAGCCTAACAGACAACCACTACGAAGCCATCTTGTCGTTCCTTGACGCGCGCATCTCACCTATCCAGCAACAGCACCTTATTCAACTCTATGCGCACCGAGCAGGATCGGCATGGCCCGTCATACGCCTATCCGGGGATCTCGAATATCTCCGCACAAAAGCTCCCATCCTACTTCTCTCCATCATAGCATACACAACTACGCAAGAGGCGCAAGGCGTAGATCTAGAGACGCACGATGAGATAATACGCGAAAGTATGCATGTCCTCGGCGAAGAGGTTTTGGGCAGGGGACAAAGATCACTTGAACTTGTGCAGGCGCTGCTCATAGCCACGTACTGGAACAAGCTTCCGCGAAGAGGTCTAATGGGCAGTTGTTATCAAATCTTGCAGCTAGCCGCAGACATGGCCATCGATGTGGGCATCGCGGGAAACTCGCTCCAGCCCACTCCCCCAGCTTACTTTTGCCGGCATCAGGACGCGGGATCGCTGGAGGCACGACGTACCTGGCTAGCCTGCTACATGGCACTCTCGAGCTCGTCGATCAGTACGCGCAGGCCGAATCCATACCCTTGGAACGCTTACCACGAGGAGTGTCTCTTGTACCTGGAAAGCCAAGGGGATGCTTCTGATATGCTGCTCTGTCAGCTCGTTCGCATTACGCAACTGGACCAGGAGATTTCCAATCAACTATATCTCTGTCAGATTGCTACGTTTGTAGACGGCAACGATTACAACACGTATGCCGTTATCGAAACCATGAAGAACAAGCTCGAAGCGTGGGTCGCTCATATCCCACCTAGCCTTGCAACGTCCCAGACGCTCAAAGTGTGGTGGCACGCAGCCATGGTCCACCTGTACGAGCTTGTGCTGCACACACCCACGAACAAAGCTTCCTTCGCTGCGCCCTTCATCCCAGGCCGCATACCCGTCAAAGACTTCCCCAAGCCAACCATCATCATCGCCCCGCTCAAACCGTCGCTCGAAGCCCTCGTCCAGAACTGCCATGCCGTCCTCGACACAGCCGCAGAAATGGATCCAGCTCTGCTTGTTAATTTTCCATCATTCTGCTTCGCACCAACAGTCATATACTCGCTGTTCGTCCTCGTCACCGTCATGGTAGCTTCGACCGACCCCGCCAACACATACGGGCAGTGCCTCCCGAATAGTTGCTTCCGCATCGAGGAATTTGGCCTCAAAATGCGCAATCTGGTCATGTACATGAAGGTCTTGGATCCTACGCTGAGTTGCTTCACCACGCGTATGTTTGACGCGACGAGTTGGTTGGAGCAGTGGTATAATGACTACACGGCTATTCTGCAGCGGTACGAGGCAAATCTAGTTAACTAATTCGCACTACGAGGGTATCTTATACAATTGCAGCGTCTTCTGAAGTTAAACGGGACGGCGAACTTTGGCCGTTGGTGTCGATCAATTCATCCGTCGTGTTACTGTTGATTGGTGCACACGTCCATGGATGCTTGCTGCCGCATGTCGCATGCATAAGCGTAATCAGCCACGTTCTGGCTTTCAGCCATCGGTGTTTTTTCGCCTGATGCTTGATGAGATGACGTTTTAAACAAACGGAAATGTTTCTCTATGGTTGCGATTTAGTGTTCTACTGGTGATAATGTAGTCATCGCGCATAGATGTTCGAATACACATTCAGCTGACACGCAATCTCGCAGTAGGCAACCTGGCTAAAGTCCGCTGTCTCGTCCACGTACGCTAATGACGGTATGGAGGATTCTCCGTTCCTGCATGAGAAAAACGCCCTGCGCTGATGCTCGTTGCCTCACGATGTGTCGCGGTGATCTGGTGCCGCTCTTGTTCAGCAGATACCTGGTGTATACGTCCGTTAAGGTCGCTGTAATTTCCAAGTACTGTGAACAGAGCAGATCGAATCGACTGTCACCAAAGAATGCTACTCTTTGTAGTCTAGCGTCATCAGGCGAGCAGTGAGCTATAGCGAAACCTAGTAGCCTCTCCCTTACATCTTCAACCCCCCCCCACTCTCTCCCCCCATCGTGACTCCCACCTTGCACAAGCAACCGACAACCGACACCCACGACGCCACAACGTTATTTTTGGTACCCCCACAAGTACTTTAACCACGACTTCTGGCGAGTTCCTGCCGTCCACCCTAGCCCATCGTGTGTTTAGCGACGGTTGTTGCAGCACGACAAGTGGATACCGGCATGCACGCTCCCGCACTGCCCCCCTGCTGATTCGCCACATCGTACACTGGGAAGGAAGGCATAGGGCTGGCAGATCAACCAGATGCTTGGCTTTCAACGTCAAGAATGCCCAGGTGTTCTAGTAAAGCCATCACGATGCCTAAGGTGGTTGATGATGCTATATTTGGAGCATGCTGCCTTGATCGTGCACTTCTGGATCCAGACTATCATGGACCGACGACCTCAAGATGCCTAGTAACATGTCTTTGCAGTTGAGATAGAGCAGGGCGGTGCTATATTTGCCACAGGTTGCATTGATCGTGCACTGCCGGATACGAATTGCCATGTCTTGGCTGGGGAAGTCGAAGATGTCATGGAAGTAAGCACACAGGAAAGGGTAACCGGTGAGTGAGATGAGGGTGCACCCGTGGGTGGAGAGGTTGGTTGTAGTCTGGATCATTGGGAGGGAAGACGTATAAGAGAGTCTGTTCCTTGGGGTTGAGGACGACATCACAGCATCGCATCTTCAACTTCAGGGCCTACAAAACATTATCTTCTCCAACACCTCCTCATCCTCCAACGATCACCATGCGTCCATCTCAAGTCTTCTCCTACGCCATTTTGGCAGGAACCAGCATGGCCCAGGGCGACATTGGTGCTCTCCTGGCTTCACAGCCCGATCTCAGCACTCTCCTCGAGCTCGTTGGTCTTGTGGATGGCCTTGCAGACACGCTCTCTGCCGCTTCCAACATCACCATCTTCGCTCCTACAAACGATGCCTTCGCAGCCGTACCACGCGATGTACCCGAGGGCCAGGCCATTGAGAACAAGAACGATACCATTGCCATCGGCGCCCTGCTCGCCAACCACGTCTTCAAGGGCGTCTACCCAGCCAGCGTCATCACCGATATCCCAACGTTTGCGCAGACACTCCTCGATAGCTCGTATGTGAACGAAATCCAGCCTTTCTCCAACTTTACGGGTGGAGCCTACAATGAGCTCGTCAAGAACGGAGAAGATGTCTGTGTTATCTCTGGAGAACAGACCATCTCCACCGTTACTGAAGCTGTAAGTATCCATAATTACACACCCAATTCCTCACCAAAGACTGACGCAAACTCCCAGGACATCATGCTCGGCTCAGGCATAACAATCCACAAAGTCGACACCGTCCTCTCCTTCGGCGCGCCCTTCCAACTCTTCACCTACCGCTCCGGCTACTTCGCCATGAACGCCGCCATCGAAGCCGCCCAACTCGCCATCGACTTCGGCCTCTCCAGCCCCTCAGCCACCGGCCTCAACATCTCCGACTTCACCATCTTCGTGCCCACCAACGAGGCCTTCGAATCCATTGGCTCTGTGCTTGAATCCGCGGACCAGGCGACGCTGCAGGAGGTGCTCAAGTACCACATTATTCCTAGCAATGTCATCTTCTCGACTGCGCTGGGTAATGTTACGGTGAAGAGTCTGCAGGGCGCGGATTTGGTGTTTACGGTGCTGGAGGATGGGAGGGCTTGGGTTAATGGCGCGGAGATTGTTTATGCTAATACTATTCTTTTTAATGGTGTGGCGCATGTTATCGATGGGTTAGTTCTTCTCCTTTCCAGCCCAAAGAACACACGTACTAACTTTTCATTTCCAGTGTCCTCAGCCCTCTCGCTCCTTTCGACCGCGCCTCTCTAGAGCCATCTGCCCCAGCATCCGACCGCGTCGCTTTCGAAGGCGCATCTTCCGTCTCTGAACTCCCCTTCTCTAGCGCTTCTCTCGCTTTTGGAGGCGATCTTATGACCTATACGACCACACCTGAGCTTCTCAAGACCGTTGCTGCTGTTGCGACACCTACCTCGGGCGTCGACGCTACTACTACTGGCTCGCCTATGGAGACCTACACTGGTGCTGCGATGGCGATGCTGCCTGGTGCGGGTATGGCTGTTGCTGGAGCTATGGGAATTGCTGCTGCGCTTGTCTAGAGTGAGAATGAGGGAGTGGTGGAGAGTAGGATATGACGGTTACTCATTGAGGCAAGAGTCCGCATACGAATGCGCACGCATAGATGACAGACATACCACCTAGATTTCTTTGAGGTGTTTTCCTTAGCAGGCATAGTTGTAGTGATCTCGAAATTTGGTAATCAGCAAGTGCTAGAGCTTGTAGCTAGTAACTACTTTCTAATACGATAATTGTATCCAACATCTTCGTCTCGCTGCAAAACATTTCTGCTTCGTGGTCATCGAATCTTTGGGCGCGATGAGGAAGAACGGACGACTTCGCAGCGTCAGAACCATGACGTTGAGCCAGAGATCGTTGCACAGTACCGCGGGGTCCACTTCAGTGTAGGGCGTGGTAGGGCGTGCCCTGGAGAAATCGTTATCAGTGCGCTTCTGACCCCCTGCTCCCAATCTGAACGGTAGTAACGAACTAGTGAGGTATCTCAGCGAGCAGGAATACGAGGCCGGAATTAACAACATCTGGTGTAGCAATGTCGTTTGCTGGCTGCAGAAGGTGCTGAACTCTTGGATCAAAATTTGGAATGCATCCAGAGGACATTCAAGAGTATGTTTCAATTAAATTAATCCAGTTCCAAGCTGTTTTATGTGTATAAAGGTATCGAATTGTTGATGCATCTGATGTTGGAGGAGAGGTACAATTCCGGCCAGACCAATCACAGCAGTTGAATCGGACCCACCAGAGGCGCATGTTGGGCCGATTCTGCGGCTCTCCGCGGCCCTTTTGATCGGTAGTTTTTCTGGTTGGCTCCCAACCGAGCCGCTGTTAGCACTCGTGATAGTCATCAAACACCATCGCAGATGCATGTCGTGTGTGTCATCAAATAAACCCTGGGCCGTGATTTGCTGTGTTTGATGCGAATCGTTGTCATCGCGACTGTACACGTTTTGGCCATTCTGGTGTGCGATAATGCAATTCGGGCCGACTCAGAAGGCGTTGTCACCGCCGTAGTCGGCATCGTGATGGCTGCCTTTGAGAACGGGCAAGAAGAAAGTGGTTGTAGTTGCCTTAGATAGCTGAGAAACTGCATTGTATATTTTTAAGAGTGTCGAGTGCCGCAGAAGGTTTGAATGTACTGTGATCCTAACTTCTAGTTGATAGTAATAAGTTGCATGCTTCGTGAATAGAGACTGAATCACCAGCTGCGTACCGCATTTGTTGCGGAAAGGATATTGACAGCATAATGGAATTTTCATTCTAAGATTCCAGTGACATCTCAAGCAATAGGAGAGTAGCCTCCGTTGCGCCGCCTTTGCCCTGTTCCTCTGCTTGACCCAAGTCTTGGCGGCGACGAGCCTACCCTCCCAAGTCATCGAGGACATCAGGGGGAACTCCTGGATCGAGGCCGGGCATCGCAGGATGCCTTCGGGTCAAAGTCTGCTGATGGAGACAAGTGATCCAGCCATTACGTACGTCTTATCTTGACGAGGCCGGTGGTTTTCCGTGGCCGGTTTTGATTCCGGCCTCGAAGGATATAAGCTCGCTGTCGCCGTCGCTGTTGACAGAAGTTGAATTTCATCTCAACTCCAACATTCGGCGCTCGGACAAGATATCCAGCATCAAAGCCTGAATACCTTCAGCATCTTTGACTTCTCTCACTCTTCAATACATCTTTGCACCATGTCTTCTTCAACCTTTGACTTCCCTGTCATGAAGGACACCCGTCCTGATGACCGCTCCCTCCCCGCCTTCATGGTATCCACCACACGAGGCTTCCTTCCTCGTCAAGAACCCATCGTTGAACTACCAAAGGAGTTCGCTGCTCTTGAGTCTATCCTGCAACGCATGCCCATCAAGACTCTGTCAGGGGAGCCAGGTCTACTTGCCAACTTCACCTTCGGCGACACCGTACTCAAGGAGCTTCCTGACCTTACCCCAGAGGTAGAGAAGTATTGCGATGACCTGGTTGTCATGAACGCCCTGTATCGTGACTACTCTTTCTTGGCTTCAGCATATCTCTTTGAGCCTTGCCATGAGAGGCATGTAAGGGGAGAGGAGTATGGTCTGGGTCGACAGTCGCTGCCGAGATGTATCGCATTACCTATCGTCAAGGTTGCTGAGATGTAAGTAGCAATGCTTTCTCCTATCCTCATGTGGTGCTGGTCTTATGTCCTTGTCTCTTTAGCTTCACCTCCTTCAAGGAATCTATTGGACACCCACCTCTACAAGGATCACGATTGACACTAGAGTATATGACATGGCTGACATTATCGCGTGCGCAGTGCTGGTTTCAAGCCCTTTATGGAGTATGCTGGATCGTATGCGCTCTTCAACTACCGTCTGGAAGATCCATCACGGGGGCTTGAGTACGACAACCTTCGCCTGATCCGCGCTTTCGAGCACGGTTTGGATCCCACCTCATCCGAGGCGGGCTTCGTTCTTGTCCACATAGCTATGGTCAAGGAGTCTGGTGCGCTTGTCACAGGTGCCTCTGAGATGCTTGAAAGCTGTTTGGCCAAGGACCGAGAGCGATTCAACGACGGCCTTCGTACTCTGGTGGGTGGTCTCAGGAACGTCAACGCCGTGATGAACAGTAAGTGCATTGCTTGGGTGCGTGAATTTGCGACTGACGAGATTAGCCATGTGGAACCGTAGCAAGCCACAAGGCTACACCAACTTCCGTACGTTCATCTTCGGCATCACCTCACAATCCATGTTTCCCAACGGTGTCATATACGAGGGCGTGAGCGAAGAGCCAATGTCTTTCCGCGGCGAGTCTGGTGCCAACGACAGCATGATTCCCATGTGCGACAACCTGCTTCAGGTCCAGATGCCGGAGACACCCCTTACAGACATTTTGAAGGACTTCCGCCAGTACCGCCCTGGCAACCACCGCGAGTTCCTGGAGGCTGTTCGTGACTGCGCTCAGCAGTCGGGCGTACGCGAGTTTGCGAAAGGCGATTCTGTCTCTGCCGCGCTCTATCTCCAAGCTCTTGACCAGGTTCGCGACTTCCGCTGGCGGCATTGGTGCTTCACCCGCGAATACATCCTCAAGCACACTTCGCACCCGACTGCGACAGGTGGCAGCCCGATCGTGACTGTAGGTGCTTCCTCGACTCGACTGTCCTTACTCTTACTGACGCGCAATAGTGGCTACCCAACCAGCTGACAGCAGTACTCATGCAAATGGCGGAGACCTTTGAGTACTGCAAGACCATCAATGGTGTCAGCGATATCATGGACACAGTCAACCACCAGCGCGAGTCGCTGAGGAAAGAGGTGGAGAAGTACTGCGGGGAACGAGGTGTTGCGGCATCATGAGAGGGCACACTTCCCTCGTCGACGGCACTACCCGTTCTCTTGGAATTCATAGCCAAACCATGATGCATTTACTTTATGCCTTCTTTATCATGTGTGCCTTTGTTGGAGTGCTGCCTAGTCGCGACATTTTCGTGTTCCGCCCTTTTTGATGATGACTCGCGTAAACTCAGCGATACGAGGGCGTAAACACGTATCGTATGACTGTAGCGACAACACTACGGATGACGCCGCAGTCATTGTGGACCACGGAGGCTGTGAGTGGTGTAATGGCGGTGGTTCTGGGATGAGTCAAGACGCGCTACCGCGTGAGTCTCAGCGTCATGGCTCCGGCGGGCTTCTATCGATAAGTAGGCCCCCGGATCTCCCTAGCAGCTCCCCATCGCCATTGCCAGCGCCATTCCAGCACTTGCCACCCTTCGATGCTCACTGCAAGACAACTCATGGAATATTCACACTCCTTCCACCTCCCGCGAATACCAAACGTCTTATTAATACGGCGGAGTTTACGAAACACGTCCTGACAGCCCCAACCCCACATTCATACCTCCATCACACCACGTACATCAGTCGCTACGAATACCTTCAGTTTAGGTCTACTGGTGGATATTTCATAATCACGTGCTCTTTCGCATAATATGGCCTCCCGACACGAGCCTAAGCAGAGCCCAGCTGAGCGGCGGAAGGGCGAGTCTGTAAGTAATAAACCAAGGGAAGCCCATGTCTCCCCAAGCTGTGCCCCAGATGTACCCCAGACATATCTGTTGCTTTGACACAACGAGTATGGTACAGGAAAAACCAATTCCGGTGGCTCACGGTTCGCGCCGAGTAGTACAACCAGGGAAATGGGGCTTCTTGTAGCACGAAGGCGATCGCATCGTACTTTAGACGGATTACCCATTGAGGCTCCAGACGACGTACTCAAGCTAATGTACATACCAGGCGCTCAGCGAATTCGCCGACTACGTCCAGAAACAACAGGCGCTGCGCCGACCGCCAGGCCAAGCCCCCGCCGTCCTCGAAGACCACGATGAGCTGAGCATCCTCGACGAGCTCGGCCTCTCCGATGACAACAAGGCGCACATCCGCCTCAAGACGCTCCTTACCGACCCCGCCGAAGAGAACGTCGCAGCGCTCGCTGAGCATATCCAGGGGCGCCTGGCCGAGGGCCATGGGGAGGCCCTGTTCGATGTTGGCCTGGAAGACAGCGGTGACTCCATGGGCTTCACTGAGGACCAGTGGAAGTTTGCCTTGGAGAGGATACAAGTTGCCTGCGAGAAGATAAAAGCCGACTACAAGATGCTCATGACGCGGAATGTTGGCGGTGACGTCGAAGTCGGACCTCGCAATGCGAAGGAGCTTGGCTTGAGTGGCAAGATGATCTTGCGACAACAGCCGCAGAGTGTCGACGATGTCATCGAGACGAGGATAGCAGTTGTAGGAAATGGTGAGTGCCTCCAGGCGCAATTGAGAATATACACTGACAATTGACAGTCGACGCTGGCAAAAGTACCATGCTCGGTGTCCTCGTCAAAGGCGGCCTCGACGATGGCCGCGGAAAAGCGCGCGTCAACCTCTTCCGCCACAAACACGAAATCGAGAGTGGTCGAACCAGCTCAGTCGGCATGGAGATAATGGGCTTTGACAGCAAGAGCGAAGTCGTTGTGTCGAACGTCGCAGGTCGAAAACTTACTTGGGAAGAGATTGGACGGCGATCCGCCAAGGTCATCAGCTTCACTGATCTCGCTGGTCACGAGAGATACCTGCGGACTACCGTCTTTGGGCTGCTGTCAAGCGAGCCCAACTACTGTCTGTTGATGATCGCGGCAAACAACGGTTTAGTGGGTATGAGTAAAGAGCATCTCGGAATCGCACTTGCGCTCAACGTTCCCGTCATGGTCGTTATCACCAAAATCGACATTTGTCCGCCACAGATCCTTGAACAGACTATAACTCAGCTGTCCAAGATCCTCAAATCTCCAGGAGCGCGAAAGATACCGGTATTCATCAACAATAGGGAGGAGTGCATCACTACCGCTACCCAATTTGTGTCGAGTCGCATATGTCCTATCTTCCAAGTTTCCAATGTCACTGGTCATAACCTGGATCTGGTGCGCATGTTCCTCAACGCACTACCCCATCACGGCAATTACGACGCCTCTGCTCCTCTGGAATTCCACGTCAACGACACATTCTCGGTACCTTTCGTCGGTACTGTGGTTTCAGGTGTTGTCAAGTCTGGTGAAATACATTCTGGCGACACAGTCTTGATCGGTCCCGACAGTCTTGGCCAGTTTCAAACCACAAAGGTGCGTTCCGTCGAGCGCAAACGGATACAAGTTCCAGGATGCTCTGCTGGGCAGTCTGCTAGTCTCGCGCTGCGCAACGTTCGGCGGAAAGATGTGCGAAAAGGCATGGTCGTTTTGCACAAGGCTGAGAAGCCTGATCCAACAACTGGGATATTACCAGCCCCGAAAGTGTACCGCGAGTTCGTTGCCGAAGTCTTGATCTTGTCGCACGCGACGACTATCAAGACCAAGTACCAGGCTATGCTACACGTTGGACCAGTGTCCCAGACCTGCGCCATCATCGACATCGATCGCCAGTACATCCGCACTGGTGACCGAGCACAGGTAGCCTTCCGCTTCGTACAGCGACCAGAGTACTTGACTGTCGGCGATCGGATACTCTTCCGTGAGGGCAGGACGAAAGGATTGGGTATTGTCAAGAGAGTCGGTTATGACTCCAAGCATCCGTTAAACCCGGAGTTGCACAAAGACGACAAGAAGAAGGACAGCCAACCGGACGGGAAGAACGTGGAAGCATCATGACGGGTTAGAACGTAGAAGTTGGCAGAGATCTCATGACCTGCTTGAGCAATCGCATTAGAAGATTGAACGATGTCACGTAATGAACGCTCTAGAGACTAGCTGTCATGAATGTTGAATGATTCAAATTTGCACAAGAAAATCCCAGCTCGAACACAGCTTTGCTGTGTTAGATTTGATGGTACCGTCAGTATTTCACATGATAGCAGCTATTCGCACCCAAGCGTGGCATTTGATACGCTAGGTTCAAGGTGCCGCAACGTGTTGAAGATCGCGGTGCTGACAGCCGCGTATCGATAACAGTATCGCAACGCCACAGCAGAAGCTTCTAAGCGACACAGCAGCGCCTGTCTTAACTCACAAACCTCTTTATTATATTTTCTAATCTCACGTGCGAACTTTCAAGTAATAACTCCATGTTAAGATTGATTAGCCGCGATCAGGAGGATCGCAGTGCAACGCGGGCGGATCCAGCATGGCAACTACAGACCCCGCACAGTCGACGCTGTACCCTAAGATCACGACACACATTCCTGAGATCATCGAGCAGCTGCGGCGCTTGAACCGCGACCCTGCCCATCCAGAAGCAAACATTATTGTGGACCCTATACCTTTCATTGGCACAGTCAAACTTCATGGCACGCACGCAGATATCCTCGTATATCCTGATAACCGCATCGTGTTCCAGTCGCGCAACATAGTTGGTTTATCCGTCGCGAAAGACAACCAAGGATTTGCAGCAGATATGTCAGAGAAGACCGCGGCCGTACTTGGACTGCGAGATGTGTATCTGAAAAGGTGGAAAGAGTTATACCCTAGCAAAACAGTGGGAGAAGACTTGCCCGTCGTGATAGCCGGCGAATGGATAGGCGATAAGATACAAAAAGACGTGGCAATTGCACAACTATCACGTCGCTTCGTCATCGTCTCGGTCAACATCAACGGTACATGGCAGAAAGACGAAGAGTACTCTGACATCTCTCTATCGGATCATGACATCTACAGCGCATCGAGAGCCGGCGTCTTCCACACAACACTCTACCCTGACGACTACGAACGCACAGTATCAGAAGTCGAACGCATGACCGAGGATGTTGCCGCTCAGTGCCCTTTCGCATCATCCTTCGGGATATCCGGTCTGGGCGAAGGCATCGTTTGGAAGCCCGTACCTACCCAGTACAACGGCGACACTTCTCTATGGTTCAAGAGCAAAGGAGGAAAGTTCAAGCCTACTTTCTTCCGCGTTCCGAAACAACATGAAGGCGCCGATATCATGAAAGAGCGAAGAAAAGCAGCCGCAACGGTAGCAGCTGCGTGGTGTTCACAACAGCGGTTAGAGCAAGGCTGGGATGTGCTGCGCGAGAAGGATGTTGAGCGTGATGTGGGGGCTTTGGGCGACTTTCTGAAATGGATACAATATGATATTCTGGAGGAAGAGAAGGGATATATCAAAGAGCATGGTGTGGATGAGGCGGCGTTGAAGATTGAGATTGCTAAGATTGCTAAGCCGTGGTATAGGGCAAAGCTGAGGGAGCGAGATACTTCGTGATGTCTAGCAAGCGAGAGGTGATCATCCGGAAAACGCTTGCTGAAGATGATTGCCGGTGGTCAACACGAATGGCAATGGTTTGTGGTCTCGTGATTCAAGTCACAAACTTCCGGGATGACTTATTATATCGCGTCCGCTTCACGATCGGGACCTCTTTACCATTCGCGGAAAGTACTATTTCGGCAGGGACCAAATACTTCCAACGCAATTTCAGTGTCAAGAACGTCTACAGAACCCGAGGCTACCCTTTCCGATCAACGACAGATGTCTGAAAACATGAAAGTCACCTTCCCTGACAAGCCGCCACATATGCCAGATAAGTATACCTGGCTCCGCCGAGTCGGTTACTCCAGCAATTATCACGTCGGTACTTGTATCCCCAGCTCTGTCCTCGAAGATGCGTGTTCTAGACTCAGTAACGGTGCCGATGAGAACTCAGTTACGGACGCGCTGCTACGAAAGGTTTTGATAATAAAGATTCCCATCGAAGACTGCCATAGCCCCTACGAGCAATCGACCATGAACAAAGAAATACGCACTCTTCAAAAGATAAAAGGCGAAGCGTATTCGCGTAGCGGCGGTCAGCATTGTGCGCAGATAGTGGACCATTATGACATGGAGACCGAGGACAAGGAGGAAACGGGTTGGCTAGTCATGGACACTGTCCCGCTGTCTTGCGACCTCGCTGCAATCTCCTTGTTCGATACTCGGGCGAAGCTTCCGGAGGCTCTTCTTTGGCTTGTCGTCACGCAGATGTACGATATATTTTGGTTCCTACAACACGACTGCACCCCATATATCACACATCGAGACCTCGGTAGTAGCAGCATCGTCATCAGTTTTCCTCACGAACAAGGCCAGAACAGCGAGAGTGCTGCTGCCAAGCAACCAAAAGTTACTCTAGTTGGGTTTGGAGGGAGTGTCATCGAAGACAACAATGACCCGGTGAAGATGAAGACAGACGCATTATTTGGGAATGAAGCAATTATGGAAGACGTCATGAACCTGGTCACTGAGATTTGTAATCTCGTGAAGAGGTGCTACGACTACAGCACCAGTATACGGGGTACGGGAAAAATCATTAGGAGCACAGTGGTCCTTCTGGACGAAGATGCGCCAGAAGAGGTGGACACCTTCTTTCGGGGGGCGAACTCTATGACCAGCTTGGAGGAACTGTGGGCTGATATCGGGGAGTTCGCTAAGAAGCAATTGGAGAAGGTCGGCGATGAGGAGTGGGAGGAGTTGAAGGACTTGGTTCTTGAGATTGAGAAATCGGGGGGGGGTTTGAGGGATGTCGTCAAGGACGTTCTGAAGGGTCATCCTGCGGAGGATTAGGTGGCCAGCCCAAGATTATCATGATATTGAGCGACGATTAGATCTTGGTAACGAGCGTTTTCTCATCTGCTACAGATTTTGCACCATATAGTGGTGTGCTCATTGTGTGCTTAGGCGCCTACAACGCTGCCTATTTAGATCTCTCAAAACGGATAAACAAGCTTCACTGTCTATGTTCTGCTCGAAAACTTGCACGTGTTCTCGTCACCATCTATCAAGCTCAATGGCTTGACTTTTGTTTCTCAAACGCCCAAACCCACTCCAGACAACGTCCGTTCCCTTTTGTGTACTCCCTCATATATCCACTACGCTTGCCCCCGGGAACTACCAGCTGGGCCACACGAGAGAGCTCTTTCTTCCAAGCATCCAAGTAATGATCTTCCAGACGCCTAGCTTTATTTGCGCTGTCGGTCTCCCCTCGCAAACTCCAATACCACACAAGCATTTTAGTATCATCAACAACGCCAACGAGGTGCACCTGGAGACGACAAAGCTCGGTATGGCTAGATAAGATTTCGAGGCCAGAGAGGTTAAAGCTAAAGTCTGCCGCGCTGTTGGCAGCTAGTCGTTCATTGTTCGGGCGGTGGATCTTGACGCAAACAGTGTCTAGCGGAGTCGAGGAATTAGCTGTCGCGGCGCTTTTATTGATCTCAGCCCGTGCTACTTCGCTGAGCCGGTAGACCCGCTTCACGTCATCGAAGATCATCGGCCAGTCGCACCGGATGAAGATCTCGTGCGTGTGGCACTCTGATGGCGTGATGGCGTCTAAGACATAGCTTTGGGGATATGTATCTGACAGTCGATTATCCAGGTGCCACGTTGACTTCTGGTGTAGCTGCCGGATGCCTTCGCGCATCATCTGCTTGTTGGTAAGAAGCCATGGGGCTTTACCGTAAGCGGCTGGTGCTTCGACCGAGTCGTGCCTTCTATCATAGGCTACTTTGTAGTCTTTGGTATCGTACCGCTGGATAAAGCACTTCGTATCGCTCCAGAGGTAGTCGTAGATGATATCGCGCACTTCGGTCGGTAAGGTATTGAAAAATGGAGAGTTCGACATTGGAGCGGTCGATAATTTCGATCGTCGATATGCTGTCGAAGTGCCTAGTTAACTTTTGCTTCGGTTTTTGAAGGAGTTGAGAGATTGAAGCGGGGACTTAGGCGAACTATGATCGTGAGATCTGATGCGGCTAGGCATTGTATATATCGGTAAAGGGAGCACTATGAATGCACTGTCCAACAGCGTGGACCAGCAACACAGCGTGAATTGCGCATTGATGGCCGTGCACATCAAGGTAGCGCAGATATTGGTCGTGTGAATTAATGGTACCGGGTAGTCGAATGGTCAGGGTGGCGGCTTCAATGCCGTACTCATGGCGAATCTGACGCTTGGTGATGATTGAAGCCATTGGATGGATGTAGCTTACTCCAACTGCAGAACAGACGGATGGCGCAGCCTAGAGAGTAGCTGCCTACATTCGTAGGTGATGCTAACCCTTGATTCGCGTTAGGGTCTGCATCCCGGTGCCTTCGAAGCCCCCAGGCGGGTACGATCAACTTCAGAGTCTCGAGACATTCCCGCGAACCCTTGGGCCCAGTAGTTGGCGTAGCGAAATCTCCATGGTGATCTGAGGAGCTTGCGCGTTTACAATCCAAGACGCATGATCGCTGTCGTACTCGTTGTCGACTCCAAAGTCAGACGCAAGTGTCTACCAAACCAGAGAACTGAAAGCTAGTAGAGGAGGTAGCTGTTAGTAACGCAAGATGAAGACGAAGGCGCAGTATCCGGGTGTGTCGACATCACCTTCCGCTACGGAGGGGATGGTAGGAAGAAGATGCGGAAGTCGCGACTTCGAGCTGGCAATGCTGGGTGCCGCAATGACGTTTCCCACGCGCACCGACCAGCCCCGCCAAACGCGAACCTGTCGCGTCGCGTCAGCTACGCCACGCAGCCCTGTCCCCGCACGGAGAAGACATGGGTAAAACTGTTCGCGACTTCACGAACAAGGTTCATTATTGAGAACAACCACATTCCTCCCACACAGTGCAACATCTCAGAAGACACGAAGATAGGATTGTAATCTTTATTTGACTTGATACTAGGACTCCACGACAGAGTTTA